AATGGTGAAAGCGGGCATCCTTGTCTTGTTCCTGATTTTAGGGAAAAAGAATTCAGTCTTTCACCTGCTGTTAACTCCAGGTTTTTGGTAAATGCCCTTTAATCATATTAACAAGGTTCTCTTGTATTCCTAATTTTCTGAGGTTTCTAATCATGAGAAGATACTGAATTATGTCAAATGCTTTTTCTGCATCAATTGAGATAATTATTGTTTTCTTTCTTCAGCCTATTAATGTGGTGTATTACAGTGATTGATTCTTGTATGTTGAATCATGCTTGCATTTCTGAGATAAATCCCACTTGGTCATATTGTGTAACTCTTTTAATGTGCTGTTGATTTCCTTGTATTTTGTTGAAGATTTTCGCATCAATATTTTTCAGGGATGTTGGTCTATAGTTTTCCTTTCTTTGTCTGGTTTTGTTATCAGGGTAACGCTTACCTCATATGAGTTAGAAACTGATCCCACCCTTCCTAATTTTTGGGAGATTTTGAGAGTGATTGGTATTAATTCTTCCTTAAATGTTTGGTAGAATTCATCAGTGAAACCCTCTTGTCCCCTGACCTTTCTTTTTTGGGAAGTTTTTGATTATTGATTCAATCTCTTTACTTGTTATAGGTCTGTTCAGATTTTCTGTTTCTTACTGGGTCAGTTTTGGTAGTTTATGTTTTTCTAAGGATTGCCCATGTCATCTGGATTATCTAGTTTGTTGGCATACAATTGTTCATAGTATTGTCACAATATTTTTTTTATTTCCGTAAGGCCAATAGTAATGTCCCCACTTTTATTTCTTGTTTTAATAATTTCATCTTTTTTCTTCATTAGTTTGTATCTATTGTCATTTATAAAAATCTTTCTAAAGAACCATTTTTTAATTCCATTGGCTCTATGGCTTTTTTATTCTCTATATTGTTTATTTCTGCTGTAATCCTTATATTTCTGTGCTTCCGATAGCTTTGGGTTTAGTTTGCTCTTATTTATTCTAGTTCTTTTAGGTTAGCGATTTGAGTTTATTCTTCTTTTTTCACGTAGGTCTTTGCATTTCTCACGAGCGTTCACTTAATTGCAAAATTTTGGTACATTGTATTTTTGTTTTCATTCATCTAAAAATATTTTGTAATTTCCTTTGTGATTTCTTGACTCATTGATTATTTAAGAGTTGTTTTTAAAATTATACATATTTGTGAACTTTCCTTTTTTGTTCTGTTATTGATTTCTAGTTTTATTCCATTGTGGTCAGCAAAGATATTTTGTATGATTTAAATCTTTTAAAATTTATTCAGACTTGTTTTGTGGCCTAGCATACGGTCTGTCCTGTAGAATGTTTCCTGTGCATTCTCAAGAAGAATGTGCCTTCTGCTGCTGGATTTTTCTGTATGTGCCTGTTAGGGTTGTAGGTTTACAGTGGTGTTCCAGTCCTCTCTCTCCTGACTGATATTCCATCAGATGTTGTGTCCGTTACTGAAAGTGAGGTATTTAAGCCTCCAACTATCATAGAACTGTCTATTTCTTCCATCGATTTTGACAATTTTTGCTTTGAATACAGTGCTGTGTTTCAAGACTCTGTTGTTTAGTGCATATGTGTTTTAAGTTGTTAATTGTTAATGAACTGACCCTTCTATCAATGTAGAATCATCTTTTTTGTCTCTTAATATTTTTACTTACAGTCTCTTTTGGTTACTATTTGCATTACTATCTTTTTCTTTTTTCTTTTATTCTTTTTGTCAACCCCTTGGTCAATTTGCAGTACATTACTATCTTTTTCTAGCCTTTCACTTTCAACTTATTCGTGTCTTTGGATATAAAGTGAGTCTATTGAGACAGCATGTAATTAGATCATTTTAAAAAATCCATTCTGCCCCTCTCTGCCTTTTGACTGGAGAGTTTAATCCATTCACATGCAAAGTGATTGCCTGGAGTAATTCTGTGTGTCTGATACATAGTTTTTGGTCCCTCATTTCCTCCTTTGTTATCTTTTTTGGTGTTTAATTGATTTTTTTCTGGTGTACCACTTTATTCTCTTTTTATTTCCTTTTCAGTCTATTTTAAAATTATTTTCTTAGAATTACCTTGGGGATTACAATTAACATCTTAAATTTATAACAGTCTAGTTTGAATTATTAACAATTTAGCTTCAGAAATTCAAAAATATACAAAAATTCTGCTCCTACGTAGCTCCATCTCCCCTTCTATGTTGTTATCACAAATTATATCCTTATAGATTGTATGGCTTTTAATATAGATTTATGCATTCGTCTTTTAAATCATATAGGAAAAAAAGAAGTTACATTCCTGAAACGAAATAATACTGGCGCCCATATTTACTTGCGTAGCTACCTTTACCGGTGTTCTTTATTTCTTCCTATGGCTTGAAGTTGCTGTCTAGTGTCCTCTCATTTCAGATGGAAAGTGTCCCTTAAGTATTTCTTGTAGGGCAGGTCTACTAGCAATGAACTCCCTTAACTTTTGTCTGAGAATGTCTTAATTTTTTCTTCATTTTTGAAGGATAATATTTCTGACCTTAAATTCTTGTTTGACAGATTTTTTTCTTACAGAACTTTGAATATATTATCTCACTTCTGGCCTCCATAATTTTGGATAAGAAACTGGCTTTTAATCTTATTGAGAATCCCTAGTATATGACAAGTCACTTCTCTGTTGCTTTCAATGCTCTTTGTCTTTTGACAGTTTGATTATATTTGTTTTTCTGAACTTCTCTAAATTTTTTCAGTTTAGCAATATATTTAATTTAATATTTTTATTTATTTTTTAAAGTGACAAAAATTCTATATATTTAAGGTATAGGACATCATGTTTTGATATTCGTATACATTGTATGTACACACACACATGTAAAAACACATTTTCTTTAGCCGTTCATCCATTGAAGAACAATTGGGTTGTTTTCATGTCTTCACTGTTACAAATAGAGCTGCAATACACACGAGTGCAGATATCTCTTCGACATCTTGATTTAATTTCCTTTGAATATATACCCAGTGATTATAATGTATTTCAATGTGATTATCTTTAGGCATTGAATCAAATCTGGGATTCAAACATTGAATCAAATTTGGGAAGTTTTTGGCATTATTTCTTCAAATATTCTTTCTGTCCCTTTTTCACCTCTTCTTTCAGGGCTTGCCTTATGGGGATATTGCTATGCTTGATGGCGTTCTACGAGTCTCCGAGGCTCTGTTAATTTTTCTTCATTTTTTTCTTTCTGCTCCCCAGACTGGATAAGCTCGATTGACTTATTTTCGTGTTCCCTGATTGTTTCTTCTTTGAACCCCTCGAGAAAAATTTAAATGTCAGATATTGTGCTTTTCAGCTCCAGAAATTCTTTTTGGTTCCTTTTTATAATTCCTGTCCATTTATTCTATTTGGTGAGATACTGTTATCCTGACACCCTTTGGTTACTTGTCCGGGGCTTCCTTTAGCTCTCTGAGCATGTCTGAGACAGCTGACTTGATGTTTTTGTCTAGTAAGTCCAACAACTGGGCTTCCTCGGGGACAATTTTTATTATCTTTTCCATCCGTGATTGGCCATACCTTATTGGGTTTTTTTTTTGCATACTTTCTAATTTTTAATATGAAACAGGAAATTTTGAATATTATAATGCGGCAACTCTGGAAATCAGTTTCCTCCCATCAGGGTTTCTTGCTGCTGCTTGCTGAGAGTTGTACTTAATTGTTCAGCAGCTTTGCTAAGCTCCTTTGGAAAGACTGTTCTTTGTCCTGTGGCCTCGGAAGTCTCTGTTCAGTTAGCACAGTGGCCAGCGAGCAGTCAGACAGAGATGTGTTTTAATGCCTAGAGAAAAGCATGACTCCCCCAGTCTTTGCACATTAATTTCCTGTTGGTCCCTGGGTCAACTCTTAGCCAGGCCATGCAAACTGTTCCGGTGTTCACCTCCTGCCTGCCTGGAGCCGCTGTCTGGCAGCTTCCTACCCTTGGAGTTCCCTGTTGTGAGTTTGTGCTTACATTCCAGAGAAGTGACAAAGTTGATTGTGACAGTTTTCCCAGCTTAATCGGTGCCTTAGTGGAGGGATGACTCTTGGTGTTCCCTAGCCCAAGTTTTGGTGACATCACTTGGCAAAGCTGCTTTCTTGCCCTCAGTCTGTCCCTCCCCAGTCTGGGGCGCGGACTGTGTTTCACCAGCAGTGTCTGCGGGTCTGGGAGCCACACTGCCTACACCCTCTCCTCCAGAGTTCCGGCTGGTCAACGGCGGCAGCGGCTGTGAGGGCCGCGTGGAGCTCCAGGTGGAGGGGACCTGGGCGCCCGTCTGTGCCGCCCACTGGGACTTGGAAGATGCCACCGTCCTCTGCCACCAGCTCAACTGTGGCAATGCTATGGCCACACCGCGAGGAGGCCATTTTGGGGACGGGGATACTCCCATCTGGCCCGACGTGTTTCACTGTGTGGGGACAGAGCCGCATTTGTTCAGCTGCCTGGCAAGCACCCTGGGGGCCCCGGCCTGTGTCCGAGGAAACTCGGCCTCCGCGGTGTGCTCAGGTGGGTGCAGCCGCAGGGCGGTGAGGAGGAGGGTGAGCAAGGCGGTGCACAGAGCGTGCGCTGAAAGTAGGAGGGCTGGGAGTGCACCGGTTCTGCCTGGGCGGGTGGTCAGTCCCCTGATGCCCTGCGGTCCCGGCGCGTCCCACTCGGCAGGTCTCTCCCACGCCCTGAGGCTGAGGGACGGGCAGAGCCGCTGTGATGGGCGCGTGGAAGTCTCCCTGGACGGCGCGTGGGGCCGCGTCCTGGACGATGCCTGGGACCTGCGCGGCGCCGGCGTCGTGTGCCGGCAGCTCGGGTGCGGAGGGGCAGAGCGAGCCTACGATGCGCCTGCCCCCGGCCGCGGGGCCGTCCCGGTGGGGCTGAGCCGCGCGCGCTGTCTGGGCAGCGAGACCCGCCTGAGCCAGTGCAACGTGTCCACGTCCCTGCGGGAGCCCGCGGGGATGTCGCGGGACGCGGGTGTCGTGTGTTCCGGTGAGTGTGGAACCCCGTGTCCCCCACACCCGCGCCCGCGTGGGCCGGGGCGCCCTGACTGGGTCTCTCCGCAGGGAGCCTCCGGGTGCGCCTCGCCGCGGGGCCAGGCCGCTGTGCCGGGCGCGTGGAGGTGCTCCACGAGGGAGCGTGGGGCACCGTGTGTGACGACGCCTGGGACCTGCGGGACGCACACGTGGTCTGCAGGCAGCTGGGCTGCGGCCGCGCTCTCAGCGCCCCGGGGGCCGCTCACTTCGGGGCCGGCACGGGGCGCATCTGGCTGGACCAGCTGGGCTGCGAGGGCCACGAGTCTGCGCTGTGGCAGTGCCCGTCGGGGGGCTGGGGCCAGCACGACTGCGGGCACAAGGAGGACGCTGGGGTCTTCTGCTCAGGTGGGTGCGGCCCGTCCACTCTGTCGCCCCCGCCCACACTCAGAGCCCGGCCTTGCTGACTGACCTCTCTGTCTACAGAGTTCACGGACCTGAGGCTGCAGAACTACAGCGGGCCATGCGCAGGGCGCCTGGAAGTTTTCTACAACGGCACCTGGGGCGGGGTCTGCAAGACCCTGAATGCAGCCTCCCTGGGGGTCCTTTGTGGGCAGCTGGGCTGTGGGACCCACGGCCAGCTGCTGGCTGGGCCAGGGAGCTGGCCTGCCCCTGACGCTCTCTGGGTGGCCTCCATTGAGTGCAGGGACAGGAATGACTGGTCCCTGTGGCAGTGCCCGTCAGCCCCCTGGGACCCTCAGTCCTGCTCCAGCGGGGAGGAAGCCTGGGTCCTGTGTGCAGGTGAGCGGTGGGTGGGCCTGTGTGCGTGTCGGGGGCGGTCGCTGAGGGTCTTCCCACTGCATCTGCGTGGGCCTTTTCCCGAGGGATGAACTTCAGGCTTCCCTTTTCCGTGTGAGTTATGCTGGTCCAGTCCCTGCCCTGAAGCTCTGAGCTGGGTGGGGACCTTTGGGGTCTCCTCAGACCCCTGGTACTCCCCCAGTGGGAAGCAGGACCCCTGGGCTTCCTGGACATTGTCTGAGGACAGGCCGCAGGCGAACGTCCGCCGCCCCCGCCCCACCCCCCTGCCCGCACCCAGTAGTCCCGGGAACAGTTTGTTGAATCCCTCATCCTGTGTGGATATACCTTGCTTAAACAGAAAGTTCTCTTCCTTCAGCAAGCAGAAATTCCTGTATTTGGGAGAAAGAAAGAAAAAGAAAAAGAAAAACATTTCAGAAAATTTAAGCCTGTTGAGCTTGCAAATGGAAAAACGGGTCCTACTTTTCTGCACAGAGCACGTAGGAGAAGTGCCCCAGGACCTTGGAGAGACCCTGAACTGCTCATCCACCCTCAGCTGCCCAGGTAGCCCTCTGTCCGTCTCCCTGCCTCCTCCCACCGCGGTCGGGGGCCTGCAGTGACCGCAGCCCCCTTCTCCAGAGGAGGGTGCGCTGCGCGTGCGCGGGGGCGCTGACGGCTGCTCCGGGCGCGTGGAGGTCTGGCACGCCGGCTCCTGGGGCACCGTGTGCGACGACTCCTGGGACCTGGCGGACGCGGAGGTCGTGTGCCGGCAGCTGGGCTGCGGTCGGGCCGTGGACGCCCCGGGGGGGGCCGCCTTTGGCCTCGGCTCGGGGCCCGTGTGGCTGGACGAGGTGGGGTGCCGGGGCAGCGAGGTGCACCTGCGGGACTGTCTGGCCCAGCGCTGGGGACGCGGAGACTGTGCGCACAAGGAGGACGCGGGCGTGCGCTGCTCGGGTGAGTGGGGCGGAAGGGGTGAGCCGCGACGCTCGCTTTGGGGTATCCGCTCCCCCTTCTGTTCTGCCCGATCCGCAGTACCTGGCCCCAGCCTGCGTCTGGGGCAGTGCCACGTGGTGGCCCTGGCCAAAGCTGCAGCCGGTCCTGTCAGCTCAGGCTGAATGGGGCCTGGTGCTGCTTCTGGCATCTGTGCGAGGGTCTGTGCGCTCAGGGCTGACGAGGCTTCCCTGTCCTGGCACTTAGGTTCCGCCATTTACCTGCAGGTGATCCTGGGACCACAGCGCTGCCGCCAGGGGGTAGGTGGCCCTTTCCCAAGCTCCAGTCCTCCTTTGTGGCGGTGGCTCAGAGGGGCCCAGCTTGGCTCTGCCCATTGTGAAGAGGACGCCCCTTCTCTGATGGAAACTGCTGTCCTTCCCTGTGCCCCTGGAGTGGAGACTCTGTGGTGGGGACAGAAGCCCCAGGCCCCACTCAGCCACTTCTGTGGGGTCTTTGCCTTGGTGGCCTGGGGTGGGAGTTGGCCCTGGACACTGTGGCTCTGTATCCAAAGCACAGCTGAGGGCAGTGGGCCCCCACCTGGGTCATCCCCCTGTGCCCCCACCTGGGCCCACACACTTGCATTCCCCCACCTGGATTTTCCCACCTGGGCCCTCCACCTGTGCCTGCCCACCTGTGCCCACCCACCGTGCCTACTGCCTAGGCCCACACACCTGGATGCTCCCACATGGGCCCGGACACCTGTGCCCTCCACCTGGGCCTCTCAGTCCCTCTCTCTGGGGGAGGAGCAGGCTGTCCAGGCAGCACAGAGGCCCACCTCTCCTGGGTGCTCCACCCCTCCCTGGGAGGCTGAGGTCCTCAGGCCCAGGGTCACAATGCCCCAGGTAGCCCAGGGACACAGGCAGCCTCACCTCTCACTGTGCCCACAGCCCCTTCCTTGGCCCCTGCACCTGCTCCCAAGGCCTGGGCCCTGTCTGAAACCACCTGCCTCATCCTTGGTTCCCTCCTGGGCCTGGTGTCCCTGTTCCTGGGGGCTCAGTGGTGCCGCCGCAGAGCAGCCTGCCAGGGTAGGTGGCCATGGCCAGGTGTGGCTGGCACGGGTCTGGGATGGGGAGGTGTGGCGGTGAGAATGCTCTGTGGGACACCCGCCGTTGCGGGCCCTCCCTGTCCTCATCACTGCCCTGCACGCTGGGTGTCCTTCCCCACGGCGAGAGCTCAGTGACTCTGTGGAGCCACAAGCTGTGGGGACTCGAGGACCCTGGGTCTCAGGCTTGCTCAGCTCCCAAGATGGGCTGAGTGAAGAAAATCCTCACTCCCAGGGCTGCCTGGGCTGAGACCAGGCTTTAAGGGGCCTCCTGATCCCTGTGACGTACGTATAGTGGGGGCTTCCCCGGTGCGTTCAGGGGCTGAGACCAACAAGCCCCACTTCAGAATTTTAGGCTCTCGGTGCCCAGGGAACAGTGTCCCTAGCGTGGGGTCTTTGCTCTCTGCGGGATCTGTTGGCAGAGGAGTCGGGGGAGGGGGGTCCCAGCATGCATGAGAGACCAAAGGGGCCACGCAGAATGGACTTAGACTGCAGGAGAATTTCTTCTAGAAGGTTCTGGTGTGGACTTTGCAGGTTGTAGAATGTCGAGGCACCCATCCTCGGAGGGTGTCTATGAGGACATTGGAGCCGTCCCCCTGGGGGAGAAGGAGGAGGGGCCTGCAGTGAACGAGGACCTGGTTCTGGAGGAGGAGTATGACGATGCGGCAGAGCTGGAGGACGGCGCTGGGGAGGAGGCGGAAGAGGCGCAGGAGGCCGGGGCGCTTCTGAGTCCCGCGGGTGTGCACCTCTGTGCCCTGGCGTCCGCGGTGCTGTTCCTGCTGTACTGCTCCTACGCAGAGGGCTCTGCTCTGGCCAGCGCATACATCTAAAGACCTGATTGCTGCTTGTGTGTCCGTGACCCTCATTCCTGTCTCAGTCCTGGGGCATGGGGACAGTTGGCCGTCCCCCAAAGCTGCTTGTTGGGCTGGAGTCTTCCCGTGGGTCGACGTGGGGTCAGGGGGTTGTAGGTCTTTCCTGGGTTTCTTTAGCTGTGCGGTGTCCGCCCAGCACCTTGTCCCCGATGGCTTCAGGGGGCCCTGAGCAGACAGAGTAGAGGGAGGATTGGGTGTGAGAAGTGACCTCACTCTCACCTGACCTGCCGTGTCCCGTCCTCGTCCCTCTGTGGCCGGCTTGCTTTGCAGCAGGAAGCCAGGAGCCGAGAACGGGGCTCTGAGCAGTCGCTCGAACCCACGGTGCGTCTCCTTCCTCACACGCAGGTGGGGCTCCTCGAAACCCAGGCCCCGGAGCTCAGGCTGGGATGGAAGACCACGGTGGCCCCTGCCCCAGGACGTGATGACCCTGAGCTGACCCTGGGGAACATCAGTGTGTGTGGGGATGTACCGGGGAGGCGGGGTCTTCACCGTCCTTGTCCTTGCAACAGCCGTTATTAAACTCCCTGTGAAATCACTCATCACTCATCATCATCATTTCACCCCAGAAACGTCTGTCAGAGGCTGCCACGGCCCAGGTTCTGTTCTGGTCCCCCTGCCCCTGTCTGCCTCATGCTGGAACGTGGACCCTCAAAGTGTCCTCTCGTGTGAGGGAGGCTTGTGTGTTGTCACCCGCCGTTGTGCCCACGGTTCTCCTGAGCTGCGCTGGCTGCGCTGCTCCTGCACCTGGCAGAGAGGGCGGGGATCTCCCCACCAGGCAGCCTCCTGGACCATTCCTCCTCCCCGCTCCTGCACCCCTCCAAGCCTGACCCGTTCAACCCTCAGGGCAGCTCCCTGGTGTACCACCCTGGGGACCCCTCCTTCGAATGTGCAGACAATACGGGGGTTGGGGTGGGGAGTCGGGGCTCCGCTGGGGGCTTGAGATTGGAATCTTCAGTTTGTACAGCTGCCCTGCTGTGATAAAACCCCACCAAGCTCTCCCTGGACCCACCCACCCAGGAGCCGACCCCCAGGACCCCAGCACCTATGTCTAGACCTGTCCTGACTCACCCTCAGCTCTCAGCATCCTGGTAAACGCCAGGTTTGAACATCCGTGCGTGCCTCACCTGTCAGGTCTGTCCAGTGATGCCAGCCCCCGACCTGCCTTCCACATTAGCCCTGCTGTGTGGCCGGCCTGCTGTGGCTATCACTGATGTTGGCTCGATGAGCGATGTGGAACCCATTTGCACCCTCAGTGTCTCCCCTGACCAAGCCCTTCCCCTGAACCCCACGCCCTGGGCTGTAAGGGAGCCTGCTCGTGCCCAAGGACCACTGTGCATGAGGAAGAGGAACTTCAGGCTCCCTTCCTTGGACAGGGAGCCCCATGAGGGAGAGAGGACGTTGTCCAGAGAGGCTGGACAGGGCCTCTGGGGAGAAGTGCAGTGCCAGAGCCACGTGGCCAGGTTCCAGGGCATGGCTGGAGCAGCTCCTGACAGAGCCTTCAGGGGTGTGGGTGGCCCTCCTGCCCGTCTGAGCACACCTTGCTCCTCTGCAGACTTGCAGGGTCTGCTCTCTGACCTCAGGAGTTGGCCAACCTGGCTGGACCGTGTGCAAGACCCTCCCTTGGGCCCAGTGAGGGTGGAGGGTGTGGGGGAGGGGCATTCCCAGGCCGAGGTGGGTGAGAAGTGACGTGGCAGGAAGTGGATGGGGTCTGAGCATGAGAACCCTGGGGGCGTAGAGTGAGGGTGTCAGCACCGCCACCGGAGGATGGGGATCTCTGACCCCGGGGCTGCGCCCTTCGGGTCTCCACCCCTCGTGCTGGCCTGGCCCGTTTATTCCACTGTGTCTTAAAACAGCAGCATTTACAATTTCTTTACAATGGTGGCACCGTCACCGGCACCTTGAGCTGTGGCGACAGAGGGATCGCAGGCAGGACTGCAGGGGCTCTGGCAGGCTCCTGCCCCGCGGAGATGTGGGGTCCTGATCTGCACCCGCCAGCTCCCTGCACGTCCCCTCCCCCGCCTGGGGCACCCCAGGCTGCACCCCTGCCCCAGGGCTGTGTGCCAAGCCTGTCCCCAGTCCTCACCTCGTTCGGAGGGTACTGCCGAGGAGCCCTGGGAGGCAGTGCAGGTCCCAGGTGCCGCTAAGTGGGCTGCAGCGTGCCGGGGGCTGCGCGACCGCACATGCCCTGCACGTGGCTCCGTGGCCTTCTCTGGAAACCCATTTCCCTCCCACGTTCCTCCTCCCCTACACAGAGATCGAAAACCTGAGCCGCTGTCTCCTAAACTGGTTCTTTGGCAAATCTATTGGAAATTAACCTTGATTAATTTTATGCTGCTTACAAAATAATACACATTTATTATTGTAGATTTAAACACTCTAGAACCAAGAAAGAAAATGAAAAACACCTATCATTCTGTTCCTCAGAAATAAACACTTCAACATCGGCTTGAGAACTTCTCTTTGAACAAATGCCCAGAGACGAGCATGATTTACAATAATGTCTCATCATGTGCATTCTGGTTCCTGTGTACTTTCCACTTAAAACACATAGCTGACACATTGGCTTGTCCTGCCACGTTTCACGGCTGCCACGGAGCCCTTCTCACGTGTGCAGCCTCGCTGGCTTGACCTGTCATTGCATTTGGCTCATGGAGAGCTGTGCACCCTCGCGAGTGCTGGTCACAGGGCGTGCACGTTTCTCAGGATTTTGATCGAACCGCTGAGTGTCAGTTCACACTGAGCTGGGAACGACATCAGGTCTTCAGCCACACCTTTCGTGTGGGCAGAGAAAGTCCATCACTGTCCTGCCGGCCCTGGTCCCAGCACCGCGGCCCTCGGAGCCTGGCTGAGCCCGGGCTCCTGGTCGGTCCGTCTCACACCTGGGGCTGCGTCAGGCACCGGCTGCAGGAAGCCCGGCCTGGCCTCGCCACACACACGCTGCTGGCACCGTCTGGGCTCAGGCACGGGTGACAGATGGCGGCTGTGATATGGGGGAGGTGGTGAGGGCACTGACTGGCTTCCTTCTCAGAAAGTGTCACGTCGAGTCGGAGGCCACCTCCTGCTCCGGGCAGAGCTGCTCGTGCCTGCCCCAAGACGGCCAGCTGGGTGCACCGCCGCAGCAGATGCGACCAGGCCTGGCGTTGTCCCCGCTGGGGCTGTGGCCCCTGTTCCTGGCCTGCTGGACCCTCCGTCCTGGGGAGCGTGTGCTGCCGTCTATAGGGTCCTGGGGGTCAGAGCCCCCGGAGTGCAGGACGTTTTGCGGGGGAGGGTGGGGATGACACAACAGCCGTCCCCTCTGCTCCCTGGTGGGAAACCTGGGAGGCCCAGCTGGGCCCCAGGGGTTGGGGTGTTCTCCATGTGGCTCGTGGGCAGGCAGAGTGGCCTGTGGGCTGTCCCATGTTCACGAAAGGCTGAGACTCTAACTTTGTTGAGTTTCCACAGAAAATGGACCTTACGCCATTTTTGTTAACGTTTTGCTCATTTTTGTAGACATTTAACTTTGTTAGTGTCATTGACAACATCAAAACAAACTGTGAGAAAACAGGAAAGTCAAGATTAAGGGTATGAATTGAGATAGAAGGTGAAAATTAGATTTCTAATTGTTGAAGATTCTGGACAAAAAGCACGCGAAGACACCTTTGCCACGAAGGCCCTTCCCGTGTTCTTGTTCCAAAGGCCCCGCTGCGGAGCCCTTGACCCTGCTGGGGGCTGGAAACCGCGGCGAGGCCTCCTGCAGGTGCAGCACCTGGGCTGGGGGAGGCGTCTGTGACCTGCAGGCAGCTGGGCCATGGCAGCGCCCTCGTGGCCCCCACGTATGTGGTGTGGCCCCAGGAGACCCAGCAGTTCTTGTTGCAGGGCGCGGAGGCCTTGCTCTGGGAGTGTCCCCCGGGGCACAGGGGCCGCTGCGGGGCTGCGTGTGTGAGTGCGTCGCGCAGTGCACTGCTCAGGGGGGACAGCCACCCAGAGCCAATGCCACAGCCTCTCCCCAGCACGACTCCTACCCTTGGGGGAGGAGGGTGCTGCCTGAGCCCCCAGGGTGGAAGGCAGAACCACCCCTCCTAGGGTGCCCATGACTCCTAGGGCTGTCATCCTCAGGTCATCGTGACACTGCTGTGACCCCACACCTGTCCCCTTCAAAGACCAGGACAGCCCCAGTGAGGAACATGGCATTTGCCCAGGCCAGCCCAGCAGGGACCCTGGCTGGAGTCCAGCCTTTGGGTTCAGCTGGCCCCTTGGGACCATCAAGTGCTGGGCCCAGTGGTGACCACAGGGCCTTCTGGAGTGAAGTGTTTGCCTCCCTCCCTGAGCAGCCGGCAGGCACAGAGGCCCCCGCCCGAGGGCTCAGGCAGGTGTGGGGCGAGGCACATCCTTCTGGCCCTCGTCTCGGGCCTCCAGGCCACTCTGTCGGTCCCTGGGCTCTCCCTGGTCAGGGCCCTCTCAGGAGGCCCGTGCTGCTGGGTCCAGCCCCAGATTTCAGCGCCCTTGTCCTGTCCAGGCTCTGACTGGGACCCCACCCTTCCTCCTTCTCAGAGTGTGGGTGGAAAACAGAGGCTCGAAGTGGCTCATCTGAGGAGAAATGGACGACGGGTACCTATATGGGCCAGGAGAAAGTGCTCTTGGTACTTGAGGGCCCTGAGCTGTGAGGTCCCGTCAGGGACTCTGGAACAGAGAGATGGGCCGTGTCGGAGACCACTTGAGGGGCCCTCACCACCTGAGGGGCCCTCCCCAGGGGCTGAAGCCCCAGAAGCCAGGGGCTGTGGAGCTGGCCCTGCCATCCATGTGGAGCCCTCCTGGGCACAGGGCAGTGGGGAGGAAGGGCCTGAAGGGGGCGGAATGTAGCTACTGGCTGCCTCCTCCAGGGTCCTGGGCCCACAGGAAGGGCCTCTGCTGTGGACCCCCGCCCTGCCCCACTCCCACCAGAGACCACAACCTCAGACTCCCGGAGCCCATGTGTTTGGAGTCGCGAGGGCCATGTTGCAGAGGAGTTCAGGTGGGAGCAGAGCGGGCCCTATGTGTGCAGGTGGGAACCTGGCGTCCATGGCGCTGAGTGGGGGAGGCAGCCCCTGTGCGGGGACCGCTGTGATCCAGGTGGCAGAACACCCTGCGATAGAGAAGGTGGGGCTTGCACCAGGAGGAAGCCACCGTCTTCTGCAGAAGGCTGGGGTGTGGCCCTCATGTCACAGGGGGGCCTGGGAGGCCAGGGTCGAAAGTGGTGACCTGCAAGGGAACAGAGTCCAGCATCTTCAACTGCAGGTTCAACCTGAACCTCCCAGACCAGTGTGACCTCCCAACAGACACATGGTGGTGTGCTCAGGTAGGGACACCCTTACCCTGGGACCTCTGAGATGGGAGGTGTCCACTCAGGATGTGTCCAGGGACGGAAGGGGACGTCCCTGCCTGGGGGAGAGGAAGGGGACTGGTCTCCTGGAGCTGCAGAGCCCACTACCCACCACTCTGCCAGACACCTGCGGTGCTGCACCCAGACTACACCCCCATCCCAGGGAAGGAGAGGGACTGGGACCCTCCCTAGGGCCTGCTTCCCACCATTGGTGGCCCTGGGGTCATCGGAGGAGTTGGCCGACCCCAATGCCAGCTCCTTCCATAGGGCTCTGATTGGACTGGCCCAGGTGCGGGTAGGCACTGGGGTTTAAAACTGACCAGGTGATTAAAGTGGCTCATCAGGGTGAGGTCCAAGCCTTGGGGTGGGTGCAATGGCACCGATGTGGGGGCCCAGGCCCTGGGGGGAGAGATCCTTGTCTCCCCAGAGGCAGGGGCGGGGAAGAGGCTTGCTGTGTGGGGGCCAGGACCCCAGGGGGATGCAGAGTGGAGGGAGGGCTCCCTGCCCTGTCCCGTCCCCAGGACTTCCCCTGCTGGCCTCTGGGACCCCCTCTGAGGTCCAGAGGCAGGCACAGAGCCGGTCATGCCCTGGTGTCTCCAGTCCAGCGTCTGCCCCCAGGACACACGGAGGCCCGGCTGGTGGGCGGCGAGCACCCCTGCGCCCGGCGCCTGGAGGTGAGGCGGGGCCTGACCTGGGGCACCGTGGACCTCGCCACGGCCCACGTGGTGTGCTGGGAGCTGCGGTGCGGAAGGGCCGTGGACACCCTGTGGGGGGGCTGCCTTTGGCTGGATGAGGTGGGGTGCCGGGGCAGCGAGGCGTTCCTGCAGGACTGCAGGGCCCAGCAGTGGAGACGCGGCCTGTGCTGCTCCGGTGAGTGTGGCGGAATTGGGGCAGGGGATGGGGTTAAGAGGTCAGCTGAGTGGACCCGGGTGGGCGGTAGGCCCGAGTATTGCCTTCATCACTCCCTTGGCCAGGGAACGGGGCCTAAGATTTATGTGTTGGTTGCCAGTGTGTTGCTGCCTCAGACCTTAGTGTGGCCTTGGTCACTCCGTGGTGGAGCTCCGACAGCTCCTTTTGCTGGTTTGTTTGACCTGCTCGCCATCTCTGCCTGCCCCCCATAGCAGAGCCGAGAACCCACAGACGCCTCCCGGGGCCGCGCAGCTCCGTCCCTGTGGAGCTCAGGTCTGGCGAGTCAGCAGGCGCGGGCTCCCTGCTGCCCCCGGCCAACGCCCCGGCCGCCCACCCCCTTCTCAGCAGCTGCCCTGCCCCGGGCCCTGTAAATTCCCAAGGCCCCTGGCTGCAGCGTCAGAGCCCCCAGCTGCTCTGCACCACCAGGTGCCTGTCTGCCTCGGAGGAGCCGTGGGCTGGGGTGGCCGCTCACGGGGCCTTGCACCAGATTCACAGGAAACCCTTCAGGCCTCTCCTACACCCCCCATCTCCCTCGGAGGCCAAACCACAGGGCTCTGGTTTGTCACTGGTCTGATCCAGGGCACAGATAGGGCACAGAGCAGGCCTGGGGGCTCCCCGACATTCAAATGGAAACTGTAAGACGCCAGCAAAGCACTTTCAGTAGCGTTTTTTCCACGGTAAAATAGGCCAGACTGGGGCAAAACCAAACCAGTCTTTTCAGAACATTGAAAGGAGAAGGAGGTAGGAGCAAAAGGAAGGGAGACGTGAGGGTCACTCACTGTGAACGGGGAGTGCGGCCAGGCCGGTTCCTGACCAAACATGCCAAGTCCACACCTCCGCAAAAGACACATGAATATAATTCATGCCTTAGCAGATCCTTAGAACAAAGTGAGACTCAAAAGACAAACAAGCTCGTGTCTCTACAGCTAAAGCAGCTGTAGGGATCAAGAGGGTGTCCTGCACATATTTTACGCCAAAATCAAGAAGTCTCAAGCTAAAGAACCCTCTATCCAGAGACGTCTGCCTTTGTCACAAGCAGCCAGCCCCCGCGACAGAGGTTGTCCACTCTCTTGCGTCAGCGTCTGATGATTCTGGTCTGGCCCCGAGTATCTCCCCAGCAGAGGAAACATCCGAGGATTTGACTCCCGGAACAGCCATCAGCACCCATGGGGCTCTCAGGTGTTCTCGGGTAAACTGCTTCCCACAGTATCTCTAAGTGAACGAGGGGAAGCCTAGGTAAAGAGTAGTGTGGAGTCTTGACCCACGTCAAACCACCTGTGATAATTTGTTCAGTAAACAATGCTATGCACCTGCATGGGAGAGGCGGAATAGGTGCTTCAAAGGAGGCACCGAATGCTGCACACGGACTCGCCGAGGCCCAGCACAGCCACTGGTCCGTCCTGAGTCCTTACGGCTGCACCGTTAAAGGCTCCGCTCGCCGTGACCCACCATCATGTAGACAAAACGGTCCACACCATATAAAGTTATTGGTGGGATGATTGCTCTAAAGCTTCAAAAATGGTTTATACCCAATGTCTGGTTTGTCAGACTCAAAAGCCTGGAAGAAAGTTTCCAGTGGAACATTTCCACCCCCTGCTGGACAATTGGAGCATCTACGAACAGATTTCCTCCCATCGCCGCTCCGTGGGTTAGCAACACGTTCTCGTAATTGTGCACATGTTCTCAGGGTGGACTGAGCCCTTCCCTGCAGGAAGGCTGACACCACAACAGTAGCCAAAAATTACTACAGAACGAGTTTCCTTTATGGGGCGTCCCTAGGGACATTTCCAGGGGCAGGAGAACTCATTTTGCTGAACAACTTATTAAACCATTAAGTCATGTTTTACAAACACGACGTCACTACGTTGTCCTTATCATCCCTAGTTGTCTGGAAACATTTAATGGAAAAATGGTATATTGAAACTAAAATTAGCTAAACCAACAGAATCAACTGGATTGTCCTGGTGAACGTGTTAGCACTGGACTTAATGGCAGCTAGATCTACCCCTGGGCAGGCAGCACAACCGACACCTTATAAAATAGTACCTGGTAGACCCGTGCCTGTAATGACAGAGACGTGTATATTTCTTGCACTGGTGATGTGTGGACACGGCAGCCTTAACGCATTAAGCCAAAGCTATTTCCATCAGGTAAGGGAGGCTCTTTGTGACCCACCTACCGACGATGCTTGTACCTTCCAAGAACCTGAACATTGGATGTTCTGGAAGAGACATCGGTGAAAAACACCACTCAAGCTTCACAGAAAAGGACCCGATCGGATTCTTTTAATCCCTCACAGAACACTGAATTGAATTGAATTGAAACTTGGCTCCCTATCTCTCAACTACCACGAGCTCCCACGGACTTTCGGGTTGTCAGTCCACAGGTGAC